TTGGCAATTTCTGAAAGAACTAGAAATTGACCTTCCATATGACCCAGCAATTCCCCTATTGGGAATATACCCAGAGGAACTCAAATAATTCTACAAAAAAGATACCTACACACATATGTTTGTTGCAGCTCTATTCACAATAGCAAAAACATGGAACCAACCATGCTGCCCACTGAAGCTGCACTGGATAAAAAAAATGTGGTATGTATACACAATGGAATATTATTCAGCCATTAAGAAGGATAAACATATGGACTTCACAGTAACTTGGATGGATTTAGAGTCAATCATGCTCAATGATCTATCACAGAAACAAAACAGAGTATCATATATTCTCACTCATAAGAGGACCTTGAACAATTATAATACTATAAGAAAGGAATTGGCAGTAGTGGGAAACTGCCAGGGAGTGGGAGGTGGGATTGGCAGTTGAGCGAAACTGCTAGGGGAGGGAGTGGCAGACCTCATCAACAAGGGTACCTGCATAATCAACGTTTGTATACCTAACCCTGAATTGTACCCCACATCTTTATAATAAAAAAAAAATAGCTTGGGTAAGTTATTTAACCTTACTAAGCTTATTTCCTCGCCTGAAAAATTGAGTAATCATAGTGTCAAAATGCTGAGTCATTATAAGAAAATGATGACAATGTCTATGAAGCGCTTAACAGAGTTCGTGTACTAAGGTCTTAATAAAAGTTAGTTATTATGAGAGAGACCAAAAAATCCTTCCATTTAGGATTGAATCCAAATTATTTTGCAAAGCAGCATTCTCTGGAATAAAAACTGAATTTGAGGACAAGAAGGAAAGTATAAAATCTATCATGAAAAAAATACATTAAAATTCTACCAACACAAAAAAAATGGAAGGATTCTACCTTCCACAGGCACAAGACTTTATTCTTGATTCAAAAGACTCACCCACTTTTTTTTTTTTTTTTGCTTTAAACAGGCTAAAACGAGAGAAGAGATTCTCCAACTCTTAAGAAAACAAAGAGAAGAAAGAATCTCGGTGAGAACAATAATGAGGCATTTGGATAAATATATTTGGAGGAATGGGCTATAGCAAATTCTCAGGGGTTTTATAGGTTGAACCCCTTAACCCATCGTCCAGAGCCATCTGTATACTGAGGGGGCAGGGTATAGACATCAGATAATTTGGCAATCCTTGATAAACCAAAATATCTAAAGTTTGCAGCTCTGCTGGCATAATAAATGAAGTATTATTGTCAGTGGAGTGTATTGTTCACATGTTTTAAACTGTAGGCTATTGGCATGGGCTACTTCTGTGCTAATATTTGTTTTACAGTGATTGATCTTGCCTAGAGTATTCAAAAATAAAAAAAAAGAAACTTAATAAAAATAATAACAGCACCTTAGTTTCTAGATTTAAGAAGCTAGTCTTTGGTGGCTCAAGCCAGTAATTCCAGCACTTTGGAAAGCCAAAGTGAGAGGATTGCCTGAGTTCAGAAGTTCAAGGCCAGCCTGGGCAACTTGGTGAGACATCATTTCTACAATAAATCAAAAACTTAGCCAGGCGTGGTGGCATGCGCCTTTAGTTCCAGCTACTGGGAAGGCTGAGGTGAAAGGATCACCTGAGCCCAGCAGGTTGAGGCTGCGGTGGCCGTGAGTGTGCCACTGAGCTCCGACCTGGGTGACAGAATGAGACTCCAACTCAAAAAAAAATTTATTAAAAGCTAGTCGTTATAAATTTTGTGATGATTTTACCTTAGTTGTTTTTTTAGTAAATTTCATTCAGTGCAAGAAGTAAAAATTTTTCCTTTTTTATTTTCTGTTTTTTCAGAAAGAACTGATTTCCCTTCCTTATAAACCGAAGGCCAAAGTATACAAAGCAAAGTAAGTTTACTTCTGTCAAAATTATTCTCACCCTCTTACTTCCTGTGTAGAGAAGCACTTCTTTTTTCTTTTTGCCCTTTACACTCAAATCTTCAAAAAAACCCACCCCACTGTTGTAAAGCCTGCATACCCACTTGTCTATCTGTGGAATATGCAAGCATCAGTTGGGGGGCCTAAAGAGCAGACTAGCCTTGAAGCTCTACACGCGTCCTCTGTTCCTCCCTTCTTATCTTAGGCTACTATAGTCACCCACCATCATTCCCTCCTGGTTCCCCTTCCCCCCACCCATATCTGCTCTCTTCTTTAGCAAATCAGCCAGTCTTATATCTCACCAGCTCTGAGTGAGCATATCTAAGGTCGCTAAAACTAAGTTCATGTAGCAAACTCTCAGTGATGAATTGATAGCCTTGTCCCTGGAATAATGTTAAAATAGGACTAGGAACGTGGTCAAGGAGAGTTTAAAGGAAACCAGCCAGTGCCAGTTAATCACTAACACACCCCTAATAAGAAATCTCTCCATTTTTGTATTAAGACTGAAAGCCAATGTGGCTAACTCAGCATTTATTTGAAAAATATCGATTTTCATACTACATTTAGAGAACAGAAAGTAATTGAATTTTGATTTTCATCTTGTTGATACAAGGTCAACTCCCTTTCGTGTTATCAAAGGAATGCTCTTAGCTGGGTGTGATGGAGCGTGGGCTATATTCCCACTTGTGCTGGAGACTGAGATGGGAGGATTACTTGAGATCAGATTTTTGAGGCCAGCCTAGGCAACATGGCAAGACCCCACCTCTTAAAAAAAAAGTAATACTCTCAAAGAAAAATAAGTATGTCTATTTTTTTAAGCTTCTGAAAAACAATGAAAGGTTCATTTACTCACCTGGCTATATTATCTACATTAATGCACAGCAACTTAATTTCTTGCTCTTTAGCCAGATGATTTGACTAAACTTCTTAGGATGAAACAAAACTAGCCCAATGAAAAGATTCACTTAATTGATTCAAATATTGAATGAAAGTGCTACAGACCAGCCTAGTTTACCTTCAATTTCGGCAAGTATTTTTGTAAAACATTCCTGCAACTACTCATGTTGATCTACCTAACAGTAAAACATGATTTCACAGCTTGAACAGATCATTATCTTAATAATTTAAATGCTTACTGCATTCCTTTTGTGTATGAACTTTCCTCCGCCCTGATGCCTTGAATTTCATTCTATTTTACTGTGACATCCATTTCCTACGAAATTCTCGTAGTTACTGTTTGTACCATTCTTTTGGTAAATAATCATGCACTACTCTGCGCCCATATTTTATAACTATTTCTCTCTCGTTATCTCAAGTTACTCAACTTTACACTTTTTTGTTTGTTAGTTTTGTCTATAACTACGTGGTAGGCTCCATGAGAAATCAGGTCACTCGAAGTGCCGGCACACTGCCTGCACATTGGAAATCAGAAAATAGGTGTAACAAAAAAACCTCATATTTCAATATTAGCTAATTTAGAAAATAATGTTTTCCTACTATACATTAACTTACAAACTTTTAAAAAATTTTCTGGATATTTTAGACACAACTATAAAATATTTTAACTTTGTCCTCCTTTTCATCCCTCCATTCTTTCCTTCCTGCCCCAAATTCCCCTAACATTCACAGATACCCCCGTGCCATCCCTCTTTCAACAGATCTTAGCAGAATCCAGGTCCCCTTCTGTCAGGAAGAAAGAACTGGAAAGTGTGTTCATAGTAAGATTTTGGTAGCAATATGTTTATTATCTATCCCAGAAATAAGGAATATTTGCATTTTTAAAATAAGGCTCGAAGCCGGGCTCGGTGGCTCAGCTTATATTCCCTTGCCTTTGGGAAGCTGAGGTGAGTGGATTGCCTGAACCCGCGGGTTTGAGACCCGCCTGGGCAACTTGGCGAGACCTCATCTCTACAATAAATCAAAAATTAGCCGGGCATGGTAGCACGCGCCTGTAGTTCCAGCTACTTGGAAGGCTGAGGCGGAAGGATCGCCGGAGCCCAGCAGGTCGAGGCTGCGGTGGCCGGGAGCGGCCACTGCACTCCAGTGTGGGCGACAGAGTGAGACTGCAACTCAAAAAAAAAAAAAAATAAGGCTCAATAAATGGAACAATGGGGTAATCCAAAGAAATCAGTTCACAATGATGAAATCTCAGGGGTTTGACTGTTGAATAAGCAAAATATATTGAGGCTAGAAAGACTCACATACCCTTCAAATCTCACTTCACTGTATAATAGCCACTTCTCCCATATATAAGTTTATACTTGGTTGCAAAACCTAATTCATATGCAAAATCCACAGTCATGAATTTTTATTGGGGAATTTTTCAAAAGCTGTTTTCATGCTATGTCATGTCCACAACTACAGAACTCTGTGTATTGAAATTGATGGATATTACTACCAACAGGGTGGAGATATCAGAGTCAGATAAAGCAGACCAAGAAGAAGTCAAAGCCTTGGACTAATTTGCTTGATACATGGTAGAGGACGGCTTACTTATGTCTTCACTTTTGAAATAGTCTACATTTGCATCAGGATAATTGAGATCACTGACAATGTTAAAATAGATAACAAAATACAAATTAAATATGCAGGTTTCCAAGAATTTTACCAGTTATTGAATACTTGTATTAAAATGGACAAAGAAATAAAAGTTAAATATGCAAACTTCTATGAATTATACCAGTTATTGAATATCTATTTTATTTATTGGGTACTACTGTGTTTAATCCCACACCGTAAGCCTCTCTCATCTTACACATTCTCAAACTCCTATTTATCTTGTTTTCATCTGAAGGCTATTTCCAGAATTTCTATATTAGATCTATAGTATGAACATCAGATGCACAAGAAACAAGGACTTTATAAACCACTTGTAAACCACCAGTAAAAAAATTAATAAGGAATTAGGAATGAAAGGCAGTTCTGAAAACTCAAAGTCTTCTTGCTTTAAAAAAAATCCCTTTTTGCAAAATTTGGTTTATTCTATTTCTGGAACATGTCTGAAGTCAGCAATGAATTGCTTCTAGTTCTGTAAATAACTGGCTTCACATGACTGTTTTTTACACACATGCATAGAATCCCAGTGTCAACCTCCTTCACTTTCAAGGGCCGTTACCCTTGGTATATATCGGAAAAGGAAAGGTTAAGGATGTGTCCTTTGTGCATTGTCCACATGGCAGTCCTACTCAGGGTTAGATACTCTTCCCTAGTGTTGCAGTTCTATTTAGGACCATCACTCCTTTTGCTATTGGCCTCCACCTGGAACCCCTGGACATAGCTCCCAGCCACCATGCCAACAGAGGAGTGGGTGACACGCTGGTCAGAACTTAGCCACAGGGACACATCAAGCTACAAGGGAGGCTGGAAATATTCTTTAGGTGGTGTGAGGGGAATCAACATGTATGCCTAGTTGAAATTCAAGGCCTTTATCACTAAAATAAGTGGAAAATGGATATTAGGGGACAGCTACAAGTTTCCAGCACAACACTATTTGGACAAAAATATTTGGAAGGAGGTAGTCAGGCCTAGAAAAGGGAAATATATAAAGTTATAAATTGGCAGTACCATGGCAGCACCATCAAGAATAAAAGGTACCCTATGAGACTGAAGTATTTGTCTTTCAGACAGATAGGTCCCTACTGTGAAGAAGAACATAGCAGGCTATCAAAGCCTACACTTTTAAATCATATCGCTAACTCCCTTCATCCTGACACCACGTTCACTGAGAAGTCTTTTTTACCCAGAGGGAGAGTATGTGCTCAACAGGCCACTGCAAGCATCAATTTACCTGATGATTATATTTCTCAATGTGTGACTACATTAGTCTCTTAGATTCGGTTTAAGCATGTCAGACTAGCATGAACCCTAGACCAAGAAAAATTCCACTTTGTGAGCTTTCTTGGCAACCAGCTTTTCCCTGGTGACACCTCCCTGCATTGCCAGGTGTAATGGTTAGCTATTGCTGCAACAATGCTGCATAACAAAGGAGTCTAAAACAGCACTTACTTTTTGCTCACACTTCTGTAGGTTAGCTGGGGCCTTGACTGAGCTAGGCTTGGCCAGACAACTCTGCTTCAGGCTGCAGCACCTAGGACAGCTCTGCTCCGTGTATCATCCTCTTGGGGATACACACACACACACACACACACACACACACACACACACACAGCCCAGTGGGATATCTGAGGTATGTTCCTCTCAGAGTGGCAGAGAAGTAGAAGAGCACACAGAACATGTGAGGACTTTTCTCACATGTCTGGGCTCAGAAACTTTGGTTCATTCCGTTGGCCAAACAAGTCAGACACAAGGTCAAAGACAAGGGGTGGGGAAATACATTCTGTCTCCTTAGTAAGGGGAGCGCAAAGTCACACAGTAACGGGTGAGCCACCACAGCTGGCTGACTGTATACCCTAACAAAGTCCATCTGGACCAATGTCCAGGGCATTAAAAGGAGAAGGTGGGACACAATTTAATTACTTGGACCAACGTAACAGTTTTTTAAAGTTGTAGTAGAGGTTGTAATATTGCAAATGAATCCTTTTCCATTGACATTAAGTGCCTAGCTTTTACATACATATTTGCCTTATCAAACCCTCGTGAAATGCTTAAGGCAGCTGTTGATATTAACAAGAGTTAAATGAAACTAGAGAGCCAAAGGGACTTGTCAAAGGCCACAGAGACATAAAATGAAGAAAAGCAGGATTGGAAACAGAACATCAGATGCCAACGCAAGTGCTTCTTTTCACCATTCCGTTCTGATTGTTTCGATAACCAAGAATTTCTAGAAAGAATGGGTGTTGGGTGTGAGACATTCTAATCGGGACACAGAGTAGGGCTGTAAAGGAATTTACCTAAAGGCGGAGCCTCATCCTCTGAGGCTGCTGTTTTCTGCAGTAGCAGAGCTTCCCCATATTCACAACGGATACCCAACTCCCACCCCCAGCCGGTGTCCAGGCCTGTGGGTCCAGAATTGTAAGGTTCCGGGCCTTAGAAGCATCGCTGCTTTCTTCACTGTCGTTTTTAAAAGCAGGATGAGTAGGGAAGAAGCAGTGAGCTGGGACCCAAATCCAGAAGCTGTAGCCCAGATGGGGCCTCTGCTGCGCTTCACGGCGGCAACGTGTGGCAGAAAAGACAAACGAGTAACGCCTTCTGCAAGTAGTACCTTAGTCTTTGGACAGCAGGCTCACATTATTTGAATATATAAGAGGCCAATGTGAAACACAACTATCGCGGGAGTTTACAAGAGGGAGAACTCATTGAGGGCTAAGTTGGTTAGGAAAACTTTCCCAGAGGAAGTAGTTTCGTTATTTCCTGGGGAGCTGGGGATGGGGAGTTATCTCCCTTCTACAGTCCAAAGCTGAATTCCACCACCATCAGCCTCGCCTCCCAACATGTGCCCTGCAAAAAGCGGAAGCATTTCTGTGTTGAGATCTGGGACACCCTTTGGCTTCTGGGAAAGCTGCTCTCCGTTCAGCCCCGAGAACTCCAACTCGGCCACCCTCGCTGGACGCTGTCCTCGCGGTGTCCCATACTTTCCTGGCCCGTGGACCCACTGCCTGCTGGAACACCTGTTCTCTGCATCGACCATTCCTTTCTCAGGCGTAGCCCTGAATGCCAGGACGGACGGCCTGAGCCCCAGGCAGAAGTATCCGCGCCTGGCCTCTCCCTCTGGCTGCACCCGCACAGCTGGGTGAACTTGGCTGTGGCCCCGGGGAGTAGAGACGGGCTGTTTATAGACGCGGCGCGCTCTGCATCAGATTCCGGAGAAGCCCGACTGGGGTCTTCCTCTGCCCCGCGCCCTAGGTCAACGCAGGATCGCCCTGGGAAGCTCCGAGGGGGCGGG